AAATTGGGTTGTTTTTTCTTTCATATATGTGATTTGAAATTAATTAGCATTCCATGGGTGGACCCCCTGAAAATAAGCCGAAAAAAATGATTCCAGATGACGCACCAGACTGGTGACGGACAATAATTATTAAGATACAGAGAGGTACCGTTGTTTGCGGATGGAGTTTTAGCCGGAATTATTATTTTGTTTTATTTTTATACCTGGTTTTTGGTATGCCATTTGCAGTCAGTACTCTTTCTACCAAAGATTCGGCAGCTAGGAATTTGGAAAAAAGGTATTCTGGCTGAAACTCCATCCGGAAACGAGGGTATGACGCTGTATGACGAGTAACATATGCACGAGAAGAAAGTCAAATCATTGCTCACTATATAGTAATTGTGCTAAGGGTACCGATGCTTTTAAACAAATCGAGCATAAAATATCTTATAGGAATTTCACGCATTCTCATTTGCTCATATACTAATGCATACACACACAAAAGCTTAAACCCAATACAAGCCACCCGGTCAATAATTGCCGTTCCCCTTTCTTCTTTGCTTCGTATTTCTGAGCTTTCTTGAATGTTGACACGGACGATCAGACTAACTCAAAATTGAGTAGTGTCAACTCAATGTAGTCAAAAGTGGATTTACTCAAAAGTGAGTAGAATTTTCCGGGATTTTCCAGGGAAAACCTCTCGGATATGAGGTAAATCGATAGAAGCTTCACACAGTCTATTAGTATACTTATAAACTGAGACTGTATTTTCACGGCTGATGGGATCGGCTCTTTATTGAAAGGGGTTTCACTCAAAAATGTAGGTCACTCATAGACTGACTAAAATTTTCCTCTTTTTCTCAAAAATCCGAAATACGACGAAAGTTTTACTCAGTCTAGGAGTATACTAATAGACTGAGTGTAACCGCTCTCTGTGTTCTATAAGTTTTTCCTGGAAAATCAAGGAAAAAGTTTTTTTTTTTTTTTAGACTATTTAAGAGAAAAAGTCTATAAGGGCCCATGCATTAATTATGTCACGCTAAATCGAGGAGAAATTTACCCCCCCCCCCCCCCCCTATCGTGACGTTTTTCCTATACCTAATGTATTGCTTGTCACAAAATCTTAGACCCCCCAAGAGAGTGTCATAAGATATGCATCAACCCTAAGTGACTTACGTTTTTGCCAATTTGAGTGAACGGAATTCAAATATGAGTTGGATTCATCGGCTGTGTTGATATCAGAGCTTTTGTTTTTCATGTAGACTACATTTGGGAGTGTTTTTTTTTCTCGTTTTCATCGTTTTTTTCAGACCTTTAAGGTCAATTTCTATGTTGTACCAAATTATTTTTGTTTTATCGTATTAAGGCACTATTATATATTTTTTTTTCATTATGGGTTTTCATTCCGTTATATTGATAGGATTACAGTAGAAACTTATGGGAAATATATGCCCCCATAACAAAAAACCGATCCTAAGGACAGACTTGATGCCTTGAGTGACTTAATTTTCGGAGGCTCCGTGTTCTGTGTTGAGAGCTAAATTTTTGTATTGTCTGTTGGGAATTATCATATATTATCTCAAATATTTATAACTACAGATTTATTTAAAGCAACCACAGCCAAGAACACTGGGAGAACAATATGCAAACTTGAAGGTTGTTGTCGCCTAATAGAATATATTTATCCACGATATATAATATATATGATAGGTTTAGATATCTTGATGGATCAAATTTATTTTGCGTAGGTCTATAGGTAAATGCATTGTTTTTAACATATCACTGCTTGGATTTTAAAAATAATACAAAGCACTGTGAAACGTTAAGATAGGTCAATGAAAAAACATCGTACTGTGCGTTACCTCCCATTAGAAAAACTCGCCTCATCCCTTAAGTCGTTATTAGTCACGAGGTCATTCCTGAAACAAAAACCACTTTGGTATGACGATACCGGTGGCACCGGTGTGAAGAGGACTTGTTCAGCAGAAGGAAAAACAGAGATTATTCCTCTTGCATGAAGGTAGTATATACGTCTTTCCATTTTGTATTGCCGTTTGTAAAACAAGTTTTACTGGTTCAGACAACCAGTGTTTCGCTGGTCGGTGCGGATGATGCACATGGATACTTATTTTTCAATCACTACCAGCAGCTTCATGCAACCAATTCATGCGAGGCAAAAGAGCGTTTCGTTTCGCACCGATCGTAATTTACTATGCGACTTGTGCCGACAGTGACTTCTATATAATGTAATTGAAGCGCAATTATAAACAGTTTAGATGTTTATTATCACTTTGACGTATCTATAGTTTGCGAAGTAGATAATGTATAGATGCTACCAGAAAGTTAGCCACGCAAATCGTTGATGTATTTTTGAGATTTCAATACAAATCTAATAACATACAAAAGTGTCAAGTTCCACATAAAAAGTCTGCTTCTAAAGGGGTCTGAAACAAAAATGTAATAAATTAATCAAATCAAACTGCAAATATTCACGCCATTTAGCAGGAATTCAATCCAGATAACAATTCCATTGCTAGAGCGGCAATATATGCACTATGCTTCTGCATAGCTATTGCCAACAACCAAGGTGTGAATAAATATATGTATACTGATACGTTGGCCTCCCATTGTTAAGCTTCAGTGAATTCATCCATTGCCGGGGTCCCGTCAACCCTTCTTGATTACAAATTTCCTTGCCGAAACGATAGAATTTACTCAGAACCTCTCACACAAATTCAACATCATCATCATCACGATCATTGTCGTCGTTGTCGTTGTGGTCTACGACTATACAGGCTGAGACGACGTAGGACAATATATGATGATTTAGCAGCGTCAAAACCAAAGCTATTGTTGTTGATGTTGTTGTTTTTCCTTTTCAGAGAATCTGATGACGACGAGAAAATGCTCCATTCCGGGATCCATTGTATGAAACCAAAGCTAGATGAAGGAAACAATTTTCATGCTTTTCCACCCACCAGTCACCCCAGTTGAGAATGTTTGTGTGCATCAGACAGAACAGGTTGCTGCAACCTGGTACCATTCTCTCGATGGGGTAAACGCTCTACACCCATAATTGTATTGGGATATGACCGAAGCTTGCAGGTTTACCCTGCAACTCAGTCTCATACCAACTTATTTGCGGTTCATTGTGTGCTCTTGTACACAGCAGTGGATGGAAGCGACTCGCTTTAAATTCAATTAAATTTAATCAAATCAAATGATGAATGTGGTTTCAGAAATGGAACATTGAGCAAACCGATGAAGTAATATTCTCAGCAAATTCTCTCATCTCAAGAACCACCGTGTCGGCAGTGACAGCTAATCCATGAAGACAAACACAAGAAAGATGATGTGGGAGAGGAAGATTTTTTGCTCCGATATGGCTATACGGGTTTCAAATAGTGCGAGAAAGAGGAAGACTCGATCTTATTGTTTTGAACATAATCAGAAACGATTAATGTTGATTTATCGCTCGTCGCGCGTTTGTGATGCATTCAAGCATGTGTGACCCACAACAGAGGGGCACTCTTGCCAACGCTGTAAAATATAATATGCTTTCTCTCCAACGTATATTTGATCTTATGGCAAAGGTCAACAGTTGTTCAAAAAATTTCCTCCAATTCCTCAGCCATACCGTCTGGCAAGCGTTCGATGCCAAGAAAATACCAGAGAAGAGAGAATTTCGATGATGGTCAACCACTTTGTGCAAAAGCGTACGGGTATTTCATAATTCATAAACCCATTCGCCAAGAGCAAGTCAGCGAAACGCAGAATAATTAATAGCTTATTTGAAACAACTTCGTTCATTTCTTGTTCTACACTCGTCTGTACTAACCAACAGAATTTTTGCGCAATGGATTCGGTCTTCATGGTGGGTGACGTGTCCTCTCTGGATTACCTCCTACTTCCTCCTCCCACTCGGAGACTTTTTTGTTCTCATACTCAGTGCTGCGCTACTCTCAGAGGATCAACACCGAGACATAAAAATTAATTACGTTTGGCAACAGAAGTTGTTTTTCATCGCTTCAAAAAGAGCGAGATACGTTTCGTTGATTCCCGTAAAAAATAGCAAAACAAAAGTAACCGAGACACAGCGGATAGTGAGCGAGAATAAGAAAATAGTAAAATGGCATTGTTGGAAAAGTTCTTTGCTGAAGATGCCACTCTGATGTGTTTACAAGCCGAAAGATCTGCTTGCTAATTTATCATCACGGTAATAATCTTTCCCCTTGCGATGGATTTTCCATCGACGCAAGGAATTTTCTTCAGACGACTGATGATCTTGCTCGGAAAAGCGCCAATATGACTTTCGCACACTTGGGATCAAGTAATTATGATTACACGCTTTTTGCAGATCACGACACAGACACCGCATCTGACACATAGTCTCACGTGGGTAACTAATTTCGTAAATAGCATGAAATCAAATTATTCATCTTCAAAATAAACGGGAGACTTTCCGCTGATGGGATGTCAGCTGAGTATTTTCTAAAAAGTCTGACACACCGGAACGTCTGTGCAGCAGAGGCTGGTCCTGCTGCAAAACTGGGTGTCTTTTGCCGGTGCACGGTGTTTCCCTTAGATCTCTCGCATCTCTTTGTGGCACTCTTGATGTTTATAATTCATTTTGGCAGAAAACATGTGAAAGTTTTGTAAATGTGTCGGTTTGTCGTATGAATATGACACCAAAGGTTCTATTGAACTATAATTTTGCTTTCGTTTACAAAATCTTTTTACTGGATGTAAAATAATAATTCTAAAATGCTAAATGCTAAAATGATATAAATTATCTAATGCCGCAACTCTTCCCAAAGAATGTCTTTGTTTTAATTTGCACCCATTTTGCTCGAAACTCACTCAGAATCACACATGCATAAAATATACCAACAACATGGAAAAATTACTGACAGACATACAATCAGAAAAAAAAACCCTGTATATTTTGCAGTTTCCCAGCACACATTAGTATGTTCAGACGTCTAATCAACAATTCTTTGATTTCGTTTTCTTATTCACAGAAAAATCTACTACCGATAGGAACCGTACTCACATAATACTGGGCCAGCATCGATGAATCGTCATCCCTCTTGAGAGCAGCTTTTTCCAAATTTGATTTTCCAGTATTTTGGAGTTTGGAAATTATTTACCGCAGCAGACCACCGACCATCGCCTGAAGATCATCCAAAACAGTTCTACCGGCTAGAATAAGTGTGTATAAGTGTATTTGTGCGCGTATGTGAGCAAATTTTAATTGAGCTTTACTTCGTTCAGTGGTAAATTTCCTTACAATTTGTTGTGTTTTTTGTCATACAAAAGATAGAGGCAAAAAGTTGCTCGAAGCAAGTATTCATCATCACGTTGTATAAAAATCATCCTCACGGAAATTCACGCATGCCAGGCATACATCGTCAAGAGAAAGTCAATACACAATAAGAAAAGCTTTTGTGATAGTTTTATAAATTAAGTCTACTGTAAGGAAATAGTAAAAGTATTAAGTGGTAGTGTCAAATTCAACGGTCCCAGTGAAACAACCACCGATACTACCACATCTTGTCCAAATCGTTGAATTCATGAATTTAACACAATATTCATCGATCGCATATGAGACAGATGATTGATCACTAATCTCTTCGATTATCTGGAGCTGTGTGTTGATTTTTGGAGCATCCTTGTCTGCTTTTCAAACAAAACCGCTACAGATAGCTAAACTAAGCCCAAACCAAACCTTTCAATATGACAATGAGTACAAATAATTGTGAAAGTATGACGTCATACTTTACAAATTCCTATATGAATTCAGACATGCACGGCCATTATCCTGGAACGGGTGTGGATGGTTTGGATACCAGTCAACAGATGTATCATCATAGTCAAAGTCATGCCAGCCAGGGAAATATGCCTCCTTACCCACGCTTTCCACCATACGACCGGATGGGATACTATCAGCAAAACATGGACCCTGCCGGATATGCGCGAGCCGATAGCCCATCGAGTCAGGTGGGTGGAGTGATACCTCAGCAAACGAATGGCAATCCTTTACAGCAAACGCAAGTACAACCTCAACAGCAGCAACCGATTGTTTACGCTAGCTGTAAATTGCAGGCCGCGGTGGGTAACGGCCCAAATGGTCTAGGAACTTACGGTGCTGAAAATGGATCCCCTCCGTTGGAGCAGATGGGCCACCATATGAACACCGCTCAAATGACAATACCTCAGCATCACATGGGGCATGCACAGGGACAGGTAAGACTATAGAATCAACCCATACGAACTTGATGAGATAATACCGCTGATATTAGGATTGTTTCCCCCCTGACCAGGTGCATCAGAATCCACAGCATATGGGTATGTACACCAATACGGCTGGCGGTCCGCCTGGCGTAGTGCCGCAGCAACCACCAAATATGATGCACCAGCAACCTCCACAACTACACCAAGGACAGCAACCACCTCCAAACAGTCAAAATTCCAACTCGGGGCTACAGTCACCACTTTACCCATGGATGCGGAGTCAGTTCGGTGAGTTTTGCTTTCAAGCGCCATATAAGATTAACAGCTATCAATTTATTATACCACATCACTTGGCAAGACGTTATTAGTCATTAGAATGCCTCAACAATACTTTGAATTAGAGAGGAGCAAAAATTACTTAAGGTTACACTCTACGGAACGGAAACGCACGAACGAAGAAAAGGAAATTTTGATCTTAATTAATAATTGCTTTTCTTTTCCGCGGCCTTTCCTACTTTCTACAATTTTTGGGAGTTTGCGGTCATGTTTCTGGATACCTAAGGAAACCGTTGCTTTTTTACTCTGTGCTATGTTTGAGTATAAAATTACACGTTTACTGGAGGAACAAGAGTTCATTTCAACATGTGTCTTTTGCATCAATAATGTCGCCATTTTTTTTTGTAAAATGAAACGTCAACTCATTACTATAGGCCATATTGTGTCACGTTGTCCACAATTATCATAGCCGGACAAGTTGCCTCAGGTTAATCAGCCCATATCTGAATGTATTTCGGTGCAAAATAAAAAAAAAACATAATAAATTTACGAAGTTAACGAAGGGCTGTTACTTTTATATGTAATCTTCGGAAGTCGAGAAAATGATCCTCGAATCCTTGATTTCATAATACAATCAACTCTCCATTTCTTGATATTTCTCCCTATTTCGATGCTTGAGCTTGAACACAAAGTGCATCGAAAATCGTACTAGTAAGCTAATAAATTAACGTTTTGAATTTCGATGTCTCCCACAAAGCTTCTATACGTAACTGCACCCTACCAAGAAGTGTGAGGCAATATTGACGATTTACTTCTTAGAGAGTTGTATAGATTTTTTCTCCTTTACTTTACTCAAATCTTTGGTTTTTATTAGTTAGGTAGGTTCCGATTCAACACATTGTAGCTTCATTTTTATACCTGTGATCTTGCCTTTTTTTTACCTAGGAGATGAGTACTTAGGGGGTTAGATTTTGAATGTGTTGACAGTTCTTTAGTGACTGCACATGGTAGTCGAAATACGTATCTGTCATGGGATACCAAAATGAATTAAGTGGAATTAAATGGAAGATAACCCTTTTTTGCTGTTTTATTAATATTGACATTCTAATAAGGGAGCATACTTAGGTGTAACATAAGTTAGGCATAATGGACATTTCGTCTAATGGATGTTAAACATAAATATTCATCTTCTTCACGTAATAGGAAAAATGGCTTCGATTGCCAACTTCCATGGAATGATACAAAACATTTATTCATAAAGAACTGTTCGAGTAGGTCTTGTGAAATATAGTCGAAATATATTTTGAACAACGATATTTGATCGAATGAATATTTGATTGAACATATATTATGAAGTGATGGTAAATGAGCTAACACAGGTGGGTAAAATTAGTAACGGTTATGAAATATAATTTTCCTTTACATCAATTGCGCCTGTCTGGGAAAAATCACAGCTGGTAATTAGAATGAGGAAAAATTATTAAATTTCTTATTGACTGCTCTTGTTTGACAGAATTGTATATCCCTTAAAAATTAATCATAAAACATGAAAGTATCATAAGACATGAAAGTATTATATACAGGTTATATAATCACATATATATAAGTTTTTTTTTTAGTATTATAGTAATTTTAACACATTTAAGGTGACTTGCCGCAGTGTTCACTCGGCTGTCGACAAAAGCAGGCCACTCTCGATGTGTGCTACGCGATCGTTTGATTTCTCGACAGCAACCATTGTGTGGTCCTCCTCATTGTTCTTCATCAGCAGTTCTTTCGGTCGATGCGTCGTCGACTTTGGAAAGCAACCGTTTCGTGATGAGTGTGTGAGTGCTGACCACGTTTTGCGTCCATTGCTGCAATGGACGCGCTCTGACCCTCGTTGGCGTACAACAATTTGCCATACAATGAAACTACTGGAAGCGGCTCCAGTTCTGATGGAGGAGGCTTTTTGGATAGCGGAAGATAAAGTGTTTATTGTGTTGTACCTTTTGACTATAGATTTAAAAATGTATTGTATAGTGACCAAGAATCCTCGGCTCTGTAAAGTTAATTCGGTTGAGCCTTATCAAATAAATTAATAAAGAAAAAAAAAAAAAAAGGTGACTTGCCGGGGATGTAATTTGGACTCGCGACCTTTACCGTGAGAAACAAGAATGCTAACCTAAGCTGGGGCCGACCCTCACTTTCCCTCGCGAGCTTGAATTTGCAAAGGATATTTTTATTTTCAAATTATAACCTTTTATTATTTATATTGTTTAAACTTGTATTTTTCCTACACAACATTAGCAAAGTGGTTCTTTAAAATTAGTCTTATCCCTATTGTTTTTTGCAAAAAGCGCATGTTTTTTCGACATCACCCGGTAAATAGTAATAATTTAGAACCATAGGAAACCCATTTCCTTAAAATTACACCTGAAAAAAACCTGAGTTTAAAAAAGTTTGCTTAACACATATCAAACTTCTTTCTACTTATATTATTATTGAGACTTTTAGCAGTAGGCTGGATAATCTAACTCAATATAAAACTGTTATTATCTTCTTGAATTTCACATAAACATAATATATTACTATTGAAAGTTTGCTCTTCTTTTATTGTTTGATTACTGATGTTTTTTTATGAGAGTGCAGAAAATTTTTACTCTTCTTAAGAAGGATATGGTTTAGCTTTTAGCGGTTTGAGTGTGTGTGACATTTTTTTTAGATCGGTTTACCAGCAACTACTACATCAAATAATAAAAATTAAAAACCGATGCCATATCATAGGTACACGTCTTCTATTGACATATTGGGAATCAATTTTTTCCTTAGATTCTTGAAAAATTAGCATGTGAATTATTATTTATTTTTCCTTATTTAAAAATATACTATATTGACAATATAGTTCACTCTTTCAAGCGTGCCTTTGCGTTACTAATGTTTTCTATAAATGAGGCATGCAAGCTTTAAGTGAGGTTTAAAACGAAACTTGTTTAAACAATTAATTTAGTATTCCCTTATTCGCGATTTTTCATTGATTGCAATTGATGTAATAGAATTCGATTTTCATGTGCAACAATTTCACCCACTCACCCCTCGACTGTAATCAAATTCAGATTGACTGCCTTTTCTGAGGTTAGGGGGTATGGGAAATCGAAGAGTTAACTATATTGTTACTGTAGTATATTTGCTCTAACTTAAACCGAGAGGTCGATTTTTTCTGTTTTTTAGTCCAGCTTTTTGCCATGATGACATAGAAAAATATATCTACATGTACATTTTTTTTAGAAAATAGAAACTTACGATTTTCGATATCTTTTTTTTTCAATATTTTTAGCAAAAGCAACTCGTATTTTAGGGGTGACCCTGGCGTAGTGGTTAGCATCCATACCTTTCAAGCCAAAGTTACGAGTTCAAATCGCACCCTGGACAAGTCACGAATAAACCAAGAGCGTTAAAGTGACTATAATTATAAAAAAACGGTTATCTTAGTCAGTGTTGGAAGTTTTGCGTTGCAGACGTTAACACTCACGTTAACGAGAATCACATGATTAACAAACCTGTTCCGGGAATCGAGAATGTAGCCAGAATCTGACTTGGACCAAATCCAACCTTGCGACACTTTTGTTTTTATGCTATATTAGGGTAATTGTTAACCACTTCTGGGCTAGTTTATCACCAAATGCGGCACTTAAAATCAAACGAGAATTAAAAAAAAAAATGAAATCATTAGAGGGGATATTGAGGCCCAGGAATACATTGATCACACGCTGATCCAGAAGTCCCTAGAACCTAAGCAGTAGAAAACAACTTATGAATACAAAATTACCGGGTGTGATTACAGCATAGAAAACTTCCTGAATATGGTATTGAAGCACTGGACATAAGAGGTAAAATACCAAAAAGAACCTCATAAATACTCTACGATGCGGCGTAAGTTGAAACGGAAGTCGTAACTATTAACGGATGTGAATAATTGCTGCGATTATTTTTATGACAGTCAAAACAGGTAGTTACAAATAGCTTAACGTGCCCTTTTGCTTTGTTTATTTTCATTAGTTATGAAATTTGCAACAAAAAAATTGTTTTCGCAGCGCTCCATTCTTTCCAAAAAAAGTTGAATTTTCTGTATGTTATCGAGTTTTGTGCCCTAGGAAAGCATATGGTGGCTAGATATTGTAATGGCATAGAAAATCTCGATCACAAATGTGTTTTTCTAATCTTTTACAGCATTTAAATTTGCCCCACATTTTTAAACCCTTGGGGTAAACTAAAATGAGTATCGCGGTACAAGTTGAAATAATAAACTGCACATTTTCAAGAACAAATCTGATGTATAAAAATACTAGAATCCACCCATGAAACAATTTAGCTGGTTAAAATCTGAATAAGCGAAACCTATTGTGGAAACACTATGATCATTTCATGTATTGAATTGGCCAATACATTTATAATAGGGTTAGTTGTCAACAGTAGAATGTATTGTATTCTGTGATTAAATCATTGTAATTTCATCGTTAGTTTTCTGGATGGACTGCACTACTATCCGCGCTCTTCAGGGGTTGATTGTAATCCCACAAGGGAGGGTGAAGAGTTGCCGAAAGGATAAAATAGATAGAATTGTCATCATAAAATTGCTAAAATAAATGTGTTTCAATTTACCTCACTGTATGGGGTAAGATGCAATGAGACACATTATAATTGTATCCTTATTGAAATGTAAATTTCTGCGATCTTCATTGTAACTCAATATTGTTGCATGATAGAAGATACTTTCATGAAACTTTTGCAGCAAAAACATCTGGTATACGTTATTTTATTAGATTCCATAGAGCATCGAAGTTCATCAAAAAAAAATGTTTCAACCGTTTCATATCTCGCTATAGGTAAATAAATTCAATCCTTATGAATAAAATTCTTCATAATAAATAAATTCAGTTTTTAAGTAAGCATTGCTTGGCTTCTACGTATTTCAGGCTTCAGGTTCTGGTTTCTGCGTATTTCAGCTCACAATAATAGATGAGGAAACCTTT